GGCGTTGGCTTTACATACAATTTTGATTTTGGTATCAATTTCTTATAAATCGAGGATGTACCTTTCATTTTTTGTATCAAAATGCCTATATTTCTTACGAGAAATATGAAAAAAATTGAAATAAATGAAAAAAATCTGCAAAGATTTGTAATTTTTTTCATTTGACAGGCTATATCTTTAAAAATATATATGAATAAGTCATAAATAAAAAATATTATCAGTTAGTCTTATTATTTAAATTTATGAAATCACTCACAGTAATGCCAATATTCGAAGAAAAAACTCCCAAAAAAAATAAGAACCGTGCCTACTGCAATGTGTACCCGTACGTACCTACTGCAATGTTTACCGTATAACTTTTTCATCTTCCTGAAAAAGCGTTATAGAGTTATTATTTGTAATGTCATTTGATATAATAAATAAAGTAGACGTATCTACACTAATATAATAAAGAGGAAAGTTTTGTTTTTTGTATGTATGTATGTAATCGATAAATTCCGGAACTATTGAACTAAATTCAAAAATTCTTTCACCATTATAAAGCTACAATATTTCAGAGTAACATAAGCTACTTTATACCACGGGAAAATATCTTAATCCCACGGGAATAAGTTGGGATACTAAGGATAATTTGGGAAATATCAGCTAAATTTAACGGTTTTCCCGCTGCTAACCGTTTCCCCGTGGGAATAAGATATTTTCCCGTACTATAAAGTAGCCTATATTGTTACTCTAAAATATTGTAGCTTTCTAATGGTAAAAGAATTTTTGAATTCAGTTCAGTAGTTCCGGAGTTTATCGATTACATACGTACATACAAAAAACAAATCTTTCCTCTTTATTATATTAGTGTAGATACGTCTACTTTATTTATTATATCAAATGACATTACAAATAATAACTCTGTAACGCTTTTTCAGGAAGATGAAAAATGTTATGCGGTAAACATTGCAGTAGGTCCGTACGGGTACACATTGCAGTAGGCACGGTTCTTATTTTTTTTGGGAGTTTTTTCTTCGAATATTGGCATTACTGTGTATGGTTTCATAAATTTAAATAATAAGACTTACTGATGATATTTTTTATTTATGACTTATTCATATATATTTTTAAAGATATAGCCTGTCAAATGAAAAAAATTACAAATCTTTGCAGATTTTTTTCATTTATTTCAATTTTTTTCATATTTCTCGTAAGAAATATAGGTATTTTGATACAAAAAATGAAAGGTACATCCTCGATTTATAAGAAATTGATACCAAAATCAAAATTGTATGAAAAGCCAACGCCACATATTTTTTTTACTGAAGCGCGGTAACGCGAAAGTTTGAACGCCCCCCCCACCACGTGCTGGAGTTTGCTCTCAAAAACCTTAGATTGATGTCTTCTACAAGGCCCCATAACGAAATTTCACTTAAACAAAAATCGTCACCTTTCCATACATTTCCAAAAGTCACAGACCGTACTATTAGTCCCTCCTTACGATACCCACAAGAAAGATATGGAGTGATGCTATTCTAAAGCCGGTACCATACGGCAACGGGCTGCAACAGTAGCAGGAAAGAGCAACCGACAAATAGCGATTTGCAGCTCCTGAGATTCAGTTCATGATGTACCATTTTTGGTAGGAAAACCATGGGATAGAGGATTCGAGTCTAATTACATACTTAATTAATTTTCCAGCTATTCCATCATCATGTCGATAACCAAAATATATAGTTTTAGTAAGTATAAGTATTTGGCTACCAAAACAAAGTACCATTGTAAAATTGATGGTCCATGATTTTCCAACGAATCATTCATTGACCACTCTGCAATGGTACTGAAGAGTGCATTTACATACTTCTATAGGTAATGGTTTTTCCAGTTATTATCAATAGCGTCACGTGTCCAGCGCGTTGACGCTGCGGCGTGCGCAGGCGCCGGGGTTATTGCAGTGTGTCGTAATAGTAATTTGCAGACACGGTACTTTTGTGTGATAGTGGCAAAAATTTGGGAGAAGGCGTGCGCAGCGTCTATACCTACGTATGGCTCACTCAGTACTAGCGACGATTTTGATGCTTACTGACTTTAACTGGAGTCTCAGGGGAACTCAAGGTAACAAAGAAGATGGTTGCCATGAACGTCATATTTCTTGGTTTAAAGGATCGGAATCATATGACGTACTTGTATCAGATTTTGCTGTTTTGATATTCTTTTAGGTACTTTGAGATATTTGACAGAAGCAACCCTCGCTATGTAACAAGTGCCAATCGCTTGAATCCTAAATAGGGTCGAGTGGACCTTCGTAGTGTGACACCAATCAAGTTGAAGGACGCCTAGGAACCCTAGCGTAAAATTTAAACTACAATAAATCTGTATCACTTTCGAAAAGAGGAAAATATGCTCTTATTTTCTTACTTAACTAATTGAATAACCAATACCTGTTGTACCATTGTTTCTTGTGCCATATCTTTTTGTATTCATTTGTTTACAATAAATTGTAAAATGAATATGCCGAAGCATGTGCATGACGAATAATTATGGGATAGATAAGATTTCTTATCTGTCTGCTATAATCATTTAATTCCGGCGTAGTCTCGAAGTATCTCATGATTCCATAATCATTACTTCCGAATTACTAAACAAATTATCGACATGTGTAGCCATTATAGTTCAAAGAGCGTTGTCCGCAGGCACCTATAGGTAAGTAGATTAAGTACAATTTATACAGCTCATTAATAAAAAACACGTGCCCACCACGTTTGTGTCCACGTGTGGGCATAAGCGTGGAGTATTGGGCAATCGCTTGATTGGTCTCGTGATGCATATGATCGGTGACTGCAGTTGCATTGTGCAACGGTTGATTACCATGATGTCTAGACGAGTGGATTTCTGATTCAATTAGCACAAACCATGTGTTGCCTTCATAAAATAGCATCACCCCATATCTTTATCGTGGATGTCGAAAGAAGCGACAAAGGGACTGGAGGGTTTTAAGTGTATTGCAATTTTGCTATAGCGATTTACGACAATAGCTAAAACGGCCCTCAAATATTTGTCAGACGTGGCGACAACGACCGTATTTTTACGGCCGTTGACGCTCTGCCTGCTCCGCAAGGGACGAAGGCGTGATTTCTGTATATATGTTTGTATTAAAAAACACGTGCCCACCACGTTCGTGTCCAGGTGTGGGCATAAGCGTGGAGTATTGGGCAATTGCTTGATTAGTCTCGTGATGCATTTGATTGAGTACTGCAGTTGCATTGTGCAACACTTGATTACCATGATGGCTAGACGAGTGGATTCCTGATTTGATTAGACTTTAACACAAACACACGCTAATAATAACACCTTTTCCTGTACCAAGGTTGCCTGTAAGAGATTTCTTGAAGGCAATAAGGTTGCCTATCTGTACACCGATGTATTTCATTTTAAGGTATTGTATTGTAGTTGTACGTACGCTTAGTTAAAATGTCCTTTTGTTTTTTTAATTACTTTGGTTCTACCTGTTACCTACTTAGGTTCTAATTATAATAAAAATAAATGCTCTTCTTTTAAGAACGCATGTTCGGATCTTCTTCTTCAGTATGAGTTTGCCCACTGCTGGGCAAATACCTCTTTATCTTGTCCATTCTGCTCGGAGTTCAGTTTTCTGTTTCCACAATGTCCCGGCATGATCCTTGATGTCTTTTTTTTTTTGAAAGGAGCAGGCAGGATTTGAACCTGCTACCTTCGGCATCTGTACTGCCGACGCCACTACCAACTGGGCTACCGCGGTTCCAATCGAGCCTGCGAATTTAGCAAATATATCTTGTCCACTCGTCGGTCCATCATGTTCGGATGTTTATGCTGTCAATTCGAGTAATAAGTTCTTTTAACTTACCTTAAATTAGTGCTGTCACTATCCGTTAAATATGTTTAGAAGAGGATAGGAGATATCTAAGTCCTGTCATGATCAAATATGTTGATTTCTAGTCAATTTAAACCTATTTGCCATAAAGTCACAGCACTAATTTCAGATAATTTGTTTAAATGGCTGTTGAGTGGTCAAACAAAATAGACACGGCGGGGCGTTTTTCTAATAATAATAGGTATTTCTATTCGGTGTAATATATTTCGAATATAATACCGTTAACTTTGACAACTTTATTAGTCACTTTGTACCTAATTTTATAGGTAATAAAATTTACGCTCTGCCTACCCCGCAAGGGATAAAGGCGTGATGTATGTATGTATGTATGTATGTAAAATTTACAACACACCTCACAGAAGCAGACTCAAATTAAACTAATTACCATATAATACCATAGGAAACACACTACTTAATACCTATACTAATACCTAACTACTTGGCCAGTTCTTCCGCAAATTCTTGGCATACCTTCTCATGCATATTAAACCAATAATAATGATAATCGTACAAGACACTTTAACCCTAGAATTAGGGTTCCGTGTGCATAAATATATTCGTGTTTAATTTAGGAAAAATAATAAGATACGTGTTCCGTCCAAAGTCTGAAGTTTTTTCAAGTAAGATACCTACTGTATCACCAATTAAACTTTCTTCAAGAAGCACGTATTATTATTTTTTCGGCTTAGAATAGCATCAACCCATTCTATCCGTGGGTTTCATAAAAAGCGAAGAAGGTTTAATTAGTTCCTTGTGAATAATACATCTTGAAGTGTACTCGCCAATCCGCTTGCCAAGCGTGGTGAGTACGGCAATATCCCTCGAGATGCGGAGGCCCATGGTCATCAGTGGACTGTTCTGGCTGTAAAGGTAAGAAGCATATGCAAGTCGAAATACGAAGTAACCTTTCGAGACATACAATTTGTGTTGACTGAAAGTCGGTTTTGAATCGCATATAGGTAATCGTTTGCCAAGAAAAGGCGCTTGATTTGATTATGTACGTACCATTTCGTGCGTATAGATTACTTAACGACACTTAAGCAAATAATAATGCAAAGTTAAAAAAGGTTTTATTGTTAATACAAACGAAACCAGTGGAAAAAATTCACGCCTGCGATGGGATACGAACCCACGTCTTCTGACAAGCCGGGTCAGACGTGTTACCGTTACACTACGGCAGTCTCTACCTGAGGTGGCGAAATTGTGAACCATTTGTTTTGTTCATAATATTTGTTTTATTTGTTCATAAAACGTGCTATTTACTAGAAACAAAACGAGAGTTTTGCTTTGAGATCCTAAATTTATTAGTATTTTATCTCTATCGCTGAATATTCGCTTTCAAACAAAACGATTTATCTTGGGCTAATGAAAATTAGACTAACGGTTAAAAGAATTCCGACGGAATCGTATGCTCCGTGAATGTGGTCCATTCAATTCGTAGGTAAATCGATTAAATCGTGGTATGAATCCATTTTAAAATATTTGGGTGCGGTTGTAAGTGCATCAGTGAAAATAAAATAGAACCCTAGGACAGAAGGTCCACCTCACCCTTGAACCTATCCGACCGAGCACCACGTGTTCTCGAATTACGAAACACCGTCGCACGCGCAGCCTGCGAAACCACGTGCGTAGACGCATAATATTAAAAGGCAAGGAACAAGTCGGTGCAGATATCCTTAACAGATTTGCATAGATACAGTTGACCCTTTGTTACCAGCAGATTTTTTTAAAATTTTTGTTTCGTACCTACATCAAATTTCAGCGAAATTTTAATGAATTTAATTAGTACCTACACAACTTGGGTAGTCTATCAGACTACACTTGTACAGTCACACAGACCTGCGAACAGTTCAGTCGCGGAATTTTGTACGTATTGTTTAAACATGACAGCAAAGATTTATCGCGGGATTTGTCATACCTATCTCACATAAACTGCTTGTCGCTTGTCACCTTTACAGCCACAACAGTCCACTGCTGGACATGGGCCTCCCCCGTATTGGGGGGGTATTGCCATATTCACCACGCTTGGCAGGCGGATTGGCGAGCGCAGTGCAAGATGTTTAATTCACAGGGAACGCTGCTGCCCATTCCCTGGATAATTATCCCTTAGTCGCTTTTTACGACACCCACGGGTAGAATTGGGGTGATGCTATTCTAAGCCGGCATCACACGGGAAGTCGGCGGCTTGTCGCTTGTCAAAAATGTCTACAAATTACGAAATCAGTGACATCCGCAAATATTCACTTCCGCCATTCATATGTCATGAACGGACAGGATTCGCTGATACCGTTAATCTGACGTTTTAATTTTTTATGTAAATGAGGTCCTAGGGAAAATGAAATTGTTTGATTTCACAGGCTAGTTTCCCACTTGAAACGTCAGTTACTTTAAGTGTGTACGACTTTATCTATATTTCAATAAAAGAGCATTTTGAAAATCTTGTCCCATAACGTTGAATGTACTACATATTTATCACCTCTTTGGCGTCATAACTCTCTACACTCAGCTGCTTATGCATTGATAAGAAGACAGCCGAAATATGCCCACACCTTTATATTTTTAGAGCGCGATTTCCATAATGCTTGTGCGTGCCGTCTGCCCAGCCAAACGTGTTTTTAAGTGAGTTAAAAATAGACAGATTACAACTTCCTATGTCCTACCTATTCACTTCCGCAAACCAGGGGAAATGACTTTTATGTAGGTGAATGGGTCAGTTTGTAAGTTCGGGATCTTAATAGCGTAGAGTAACAGAAAGGGTATAACAAGCCGAAAGGAAGGTAGTCATGAAACTGAACAACTTTCCCCATGGAACATAGATCGAAATAGGAAAGAAAATATTTGGGCCTCCCATACAAAATCACCGATGATGAGCTGATTGATTTACTATGGGAGGTCCAATTTTTTTTTCATATTTCGACCGTTGTTACAGTTGCCGTGTGTTGCCGGCAGAGTAGAATAGCACCACCCCCTCTCTTCCCGTGGGGGTCGTAAGAGGCGACTGAGGGATAAACCCGATGATGATGTTACATGGGAAAAGCTGTTCAGTTTCATGAGTACCTTAAGCTCCTTTCGGCTTGTTATACCCTTTCTGTTACTCCCTGTATAGTCTAAAGATTAAATAATATAGTCTAAAGTCTAAAGGTTAGATTTATTGGAAATGTTACTGAATAATCACCAGAATATTAACTTTTGGAAAATTCTGGCAAAATTCAGTAGCTCATTCAGTTACATACTAAATAGAGCATTTTCTTATAGATTTCAAGATTTTTATTCAATTGCATATACCTACTTAAGCGAGGGCCACACGACAACTATCTTCCTGATTGTTCTATTCTATGAAAGTAATTATATCTAGGAAGGAATCAAAGCTAATCCTTAGTGAAAGACAACTAATTACCCCTTCATGCTAGATGTCGTGTGAGATTATCTTTTAATCTAGAAAATAACTCTTTTTCTATCAATCGTCTTAGTTGTGTGTAGAGATTAAAACATTTTTTCTAAGTTTTGTACATAATTGTTTGTTTTGTGTTCACATTCTAATACCTAACGTTTTAGTTCCTGGTAAATGAAGATAGTTAGTTACTACACTGGGTTACTATACTACGTTGCCTGGAAGAGAATGCCTGAAGGAAATAAGGCCGCCTAATTGTACACCAATGTATTTAATTTTAAGTGTTCCCGAATTACATTTTAGTCCTTTTGGTATATATCGGGTGAAATTTTACTAGTGAAAATTTTGGCCCTCCCATACAAAGTTGCCGATCCAGCTGATTTGAATTACTTACTATGGGAGGCCAAAAAAAATTTTCATGTTTCGACCTTTGTTCCTTGGGGAAAGTTGTTCCTTATCACCAGCCGGTTTTGGGTTTTGATATCAAAAAAGTTCAATCTTTTCTCTTCGCATAACAGTGTGACTATACTGCTGTTATCCGCTCCGTGCAGACTCGGTGGGTAAAAATATACAATTAATCCTCGGCCTATAAAAAGTCTAATATTGATAACTCTTATCGGCAGCAATAGTCTGGGTTGCGTACTATTGCTATCCAAAACTCTTATCGATATTGGATTTTTTATAGGCCGAGGATTTATACTTTTTTACCGACCGAGTCTGCACGGAGCGGATAACAGCAGTATACTGCATAACCACATCAGTAGAGCCACAAATTAGGGAAACGGCGCGCCTATACAGATGGCTCACTCAGTACTAGTGACGATTTTTACGCTTACTGATGAAAATTGGAAAAAACCCGGCATCTCAGGGGAAGTCAAGGTAACTAAGAAGGTGGTTGACACGGACGTCATATTTATTGGATTTAAAATTGGCTCAGAATTATATGACGTTCTTTATCAGATATTGCTGTTTTGACATTTTTATATTTGGAGATTTCTGGCAGGAGCAACCCTGGCTATGAAACAAATGCCAATCGCGAAAATCCGAATTAGGGCCGAGAGAACCTTCTGTAAACTCTCTATTTTGTGGTAGAGCTAACATGCTTTCCTCGAAGCTTGTGGTCAGTAGAGGGTTTAAGCTTCCAGTGCAGTAGTGTACAATATGTACCTAAGCTAAGCTTCTGGTGCAGTAGTGTACAATATGTACCTACAGGATAAGCCGCAGTTCACATGCCTGCGGGAATGTGCTCTCTAAAAGCGCTACCTTCACTCGCACTACCTCCACTTCAGTAAGACGTAAGACAGTGCGACGCTCGAAACCGCTTTCATATAAAATAGAAGAGACGCCATTTACACCCGTAAGAAGTGCCTCTCATCGCCGATGGTCGGCGTCACAGTATCATTTTACAATTCTCGTCTCACGTTTCTTGTGTGTAGATAGCGCCTATAAGCACCTATCAGCAACACTTTTATGGGATTAACTTACACTGCTTTTTGATAGCAGTATGAAAAACTTTTCAAGATGCTCCCGAAGTACTTTCCTACACATACTCGTACAGGCAGTAAGAAATTGTTTACACAAAAACTAGTTACTTTTATCTTTCTTTTGCCGTTGTCGTGTGGGACAAGGAGTCGTCCAACGACCCGATGAACCCTAGTTTCCGGGTTTTTCAACCGCATATTACAAGTAGCGCGCCTTTGACATGGTACGATCGCCATCTAAGTACTTAATGAAATCATAGAGAGCGACCAGGACCGACGGTGCCCTCCGAACGACTTCTTATAAAATTGGTCATAAACTAAAGTGACTAGGTCTTTAGGTTTTATTAGTCCCTATTGGAAAAGTGATTGCACTCTATCCACTATGAATTGCTAGTCTGCTCACATATCGCTGCCACGTGTAAGAACAGTGTATGATACGTACGGTAGACCACTCCTTAATGGACACTCACTTATACTTATTCTAAACCACGTTGCACGCTTAGATATCTCTATCTGCGTGGGTAGAAATACAAGAGAAGAATTCTTAGTGAATTAGGCAGTAGCGTAAGCGACCTTAAAGCATGACAATTAGTTGCTCATTTTATGAAAAGAACATTATTTTTCTAATCTTAATGTGTATACAGAGTGGTACCGAACAAGCCATTTCCTGAAAACGCTAAGCTCAACAGCAGCGTTGCCGGCGCGGATCTTTGGATGCGATTTCGGATCTTTTCGGGTCTGATCGGATCCTTGGCGGATCCTCATTTCCAGCGGATAATTGCGGATAATTTTGAAAAAAGTAGTCAATACATTGTAGATACTCGTATTTAACTTCAAATCGAACGTGCCCGCAATAAAAGACGAGCACGAGCGTACAAATTGGACCGCACCGTAAAAAATATCTTCTTCATTTGGTTTTGTCTTTAAGTACAGACCGGATGCGCTGCGTGGCCTGGAAGTCTGTGTGAGTAACAGGCTAGCACAAAGTGGATGCCCCGCATGGCGTGCACGTCTACGTGTGTAACAGGCTAGCAAACAGCCGACGCGCCGCTTGGTGTGCACGCCTACGTGAGTAACATGCTAGCACAGACTGGGTGCGCCGCGTGGTGTGCACGCCTACGTGAGTAACATGCTAGCACAGACTGGGTGCGCCGCGTGGTGTGCACGCCTACGTGAGTAACAGGCTAGCACAGACTGGGTGCGCCGCGTGGTGTGCACGCCTACGTGAGTAACATGCTAGCACAGACTGGGTGCGCCGCGTGGTGTGCACGCCTACGTGAGTAACATGCTAGCACAGACTGGGTGCGCCG